CCTGCTGAGCTTCATTTATCTGATCCTCAAGTGCTGTATGGTCAGTGCCAGCCAAAATGTAGACCTTGGACTGAAGGCAATTTAGAGATAAGTGGAAGAAAAACAGTCTAATACACATGACTATGGAACCCATCTCAACCAACAGAAGTCAATGGCAGAACTCCCACTGACTTCTTTAAAGGTAGAATAAGAGATGTTTTCACTTAGGGTCACATTGCTGACATTGAATTATGTTAGGGTGGCAATAGTAAATATTGCTGGTAATAAACACATTTCTATTTAATGGGAAATTCTGATATTTTGCAAAAGTTTTGTTCTGAGAAGAAAAGCTAAATTTCTTTTTTTTAAATTGCTGTGGAAGGAAACTTCCCTGAAGGTTTTGTTTTGAAAGAAAATTGAATATTTTCATTCTCATTTTCCCGACATGAAAGAGCCATGTGTTCTGACTCCTGAGGATGCCCCACATTTACAGCTTCCCCCTACCTTATTCTCAAGGATGCCAATTGCAGCTGAGGAGTTTTCTTCAGTCAGGGGCTACACAGGAGCCTAAAATCCTAAGAAATCTGGCTCCACCCAGAGCTCTAATGCCAAATCTGGGCAGATGCCAGATCCCTGGACTACATAGTTCCTTAGCAGTTCTCACAGCATGGCTATCTTTGAAATCCTGGGCTCTTCAACTCTGGGGAAACTTCCACAGAAGGATTGTCCTAGGGTACAGCTATGAACCCTAGAAGCCCAGGCAGGAAATCAGGAAACCAGCCTAGGTTTCAGGGGAAGCCAAGGTATTTTTTACAAATACTTATCTGATGAAGCCAAGGTATTTCTGTAAAACATTTTGGTTTTGATGAATCAGTATGTTCCACTGAAACTATGTTTTGTCTGGGAATTCCTCACCAGTTCTGCTAGCAAGACGTTTATCCTGACAGATGTGGTTGGAAGTATATGGCATTCTGCTGACATAGCTTAGTTTGTTGCCTACTACTCCAAGCAATATGTTCATGTCATTTTAGGAAAAAAAGTGACCATTATTCAGCTTCTGCCCAAATTTCTCACCCCAACCTACCTTCACTGTGACAAAGGCAGAGTCTGTGGAATGCCCTGACCTGGTGATTTTCAAAGACAAGATTCCCACATTCTCACACACTTCATATGCAGCCTGTTGCATTTCAATTCGAGACCACTTCAGTTCCAGACTGTAAAAAAATTAAAAAGAGAACAACTCCAGGAGAAAACCAGTCTCTCTTTCCTGAAGTTTTGATAAAGGTGCCATAATCTTGACTGTTGATTCAGTGAATACACATACTTAGCCTCTGTTTTCAAATGAGTGCATTTGTTGACTTTGCTAATTGTAGATAAAGAAGCAGTTAAATAAATTAAGACTTCCATGGACATCTTCTCGGGGGTGTTAGTTGTAGCCATGTTGGTCTAAGGACATAGGCAGACAAGGTTATTTGTTGGCTTAATAAAAGATTTCACATTTACCCAAATAACCTTGTCTGCCTATGGACATCTCACACCCACAGCTAAAAATTATACCATCTGAGAAGTTTTGTCATCAACATCAATGGGGTGGCATTTGATTTGGTGTTCTTAATATCCATTTGACTAAGGCTTCACTTTGCTTCAGTTTTACTGATTCTAAACAAGGGCATAGTTCTTTCCCCCCCTGCAGTTTCAGTCTTGCCTAAGGGCTGGACTACATGGAAAAACTAGCCAACATACCTATAGAAACATAACTATTTTGCTAAAGGCAATGATATTTGTGGGCAATAGGGAAATACTGTATATTTTATTGAGCCAACTGCGTAGCTGGGATATACTTAAACACGTTTTTGAATGCAGTGCATTCTTTTTTAGGCTATTTTGGAATACTAGCCTTATGCAGATGCTCTCTTCTAAAGTAAGAGTGACTTAATTTCAGGATAATGACTCCATTTTGGAAGAAGTATACTATTCCAGAAGAAAATCACTTTTATTTCAGATTAATGCCATAAAGGAAGAGTTATTCCAGAATAACTAAATTAAACTGGAATATCTATGGTGTTGTTGTTATTCTGCTACAGTTTTGTTGGGAAATTTCTCCTATGTAGACAAACTCTAAGTTACTTGCTAAACTTGACAGGGTGAAGAATTTGAACTGTTACATGTATTGTAGGGTCTCATATATAATTACAGAGCAATGAAAATAAATAGTCACCCTTAGCCTATTCAGAGAAATGCTCAAAATCTGATTTTGCAGTAATTCAGCAGCAGTCAATTACATTTTTGTGTTTTCATTTAAATTAGCTGCTTTTTGAAATCAACCCATTTGATTAAACAGCAATTATTGGGTTACGCATTCAAATAAATCTATTGTCACCTTTTTACATGCAATTTTCAATTTAGAGTTTTTTATCATAAGCAGGCAACTTTTTGTTCTAGTCAAATTCCTAGCAAATGACTACTGTTCATCCTACCTCTTTTAAATTCATCTTCTACTTTCACCATAACAACCTATTATTCTTCAGTTGCCTTCCTTAAAAGATGTTATGTATTAGTGTTGACTCACAAAAAGTCCTGGGGTTCAACAAAGGGGTGCCTGCATTTCAGTGTTTGGTAGGTGATCTAATGCAAATTCATGTGTGAGAATGTATAGTGCCGTAACAAAGTGCTTAGCTTAAGTTAGCTGTATTTATATGACATTGAATGCACTCACTTATTGACATAGCCTGGTACTGCAGTAACTTCAACTTATCTATCAATTGTTAATCTATGGTGAAACTGCATACAGTTCAAAGTCCTTTATCTTTTTTTTTCCTTCTAGGAGATCTGGCTCGTGGACACAAACATACGTAGGATAACTCTGGACATATTTCTCAATCATTCAAAAGTCAAATACTGTATTCAGAAATAAAATATAAACTTTCCCAGTAAAACAGAGTTTTGCTCGCTACCTCCTTCCTTGTTTATTGTTATCAGATAGTATTTCGTTTTCTTCAGGGGAACAGTTAAACCAATTTTGCAGGCTCTCACCAATTTGTTGCAACATTTGTTGCATTTAACACAGGCTAAGAGGGTGCCCCTAATTATAATACTGGAATCATATGACTGGAGAGAATAAGCTCCCTGTTTTTTCTCCCTTCAATGTATGACCCATATAAAATTTTATTGCCCAACACTTCCCTTTCTGCTGTGATCTCATGCTCTGGAAAGGCTACTGTCAGAACAGGCCTAGAGTGACCTCCAGCTGCAAGAGGATGTATATGAAGCTCACAGTCCTGTCACTAAGGCAGTATTTACACTGTTTAGAGCTGGTAAGTTCAATAAACTCCTTTATATACTTAAATCATGTGTGTGTGTGTGTAAGCACATATTCATATATGTAAGCACATATCCTGCTCATATACTACAGCACATGACTTGAAACTGTCTCTTTGCAGTTCTTAAGGGAAGACAAGACTCCACATTCTTTAACTGTCACTCAACATAAATACCTCTATACTATTTTATTCTTAGTTTCTCTAAAAAGCACTGCAATCTGAACCTGTAAAACTAAGCACTTCCTCTTTCACTCACATCTTCAATGACTGAGTTCACCTAAAACAAAAGTAGTCCCTCAGATTTTAAAGGTGTAGTGCATAAGGTGTTACAGTGTTCAGAATGAAAGACTGAAGTTACATTTGGGAGGTGCCAGAGCTCCCAGTGGGATCTGTGACTTGAAACTCCAAGCTGTCTGAATTCACTGCCCAAGTTGGATTGATGACATAAAGTACGATTTTGCTATTTAAATCTTTTTGGCTGAATTCCTCCTGGATGCACCTGCCTGAGAAAGGAAGAAAATATTCCAATGATTCAAAATCCATTCATACAGGAGCTAGCAAGAGACACACCAGTTTATATAGATTATTTTAGAACTTTCTGTTTGTTAACTCTTAGAGTGTGAATAAGGATTCATTGATCTTCCAGAAACCCACCTTATACCAAAAATTTCTTATATTCCAGTGCAGCCCATACTTGTTAACAAAATTCATACTGAGAGATTAAAGAAACAGTACCTGTTGTTGTATTTTCCAGGTAGCCATAGCGAGGACCTTGTAAAATCTTAAAGATGATTTGGTCATCTTCTATATTGGGGTGAGATGCTTTCAGGGACCTGGCAGTAATATAAATCCCAAAATTGCCATTCTTCAGGAGCTCCACATTACAAGAACAATGGAGATGAACAATTTTTGGTGTAGTTCTGTCCAAATGGTCCACCTGAATCAAATAACAAATGTTCCCCTTTTTTCCCACTGAATCAGATATTACCCTGCATCTACATTTTTACTGAAAGCACTACAGCATATAGAGTGTATAGAGTGTAAAGCTTAGTTTGATTGATAATCTGTTGAAGATGAAATATAACCTCTAGTAAAGTAACCACTTCTCATGACAGGTCCCCAGGTCTAGGCAACTTTTTATACATAGAACATACTCAGCAGCAGAGCATAGAACAAATTCTTCAAGGCAGAGCACCATACATAATGTCTGCCTATGTAACCATCTCCCTACCTCCTCCTCATCACATTTTCTTCTTTGCAAATGAAAAATACAACAAACGGCTCCCACCCTCCATTCTACATGACAGCCTGAAAGCCTAACCCCCAGGTCTGGTCAATACATCTTTCCCAGACTGTGCAGTCTCTCACAGCTCCATCCATAACTAGCTGTTGCCTTGCCTTCATTTCAGGTTCTGCTTCATCTACATCCCATTATCTTCCCTGAAATGGCTTTCCTCATTTCCTACACAGCCTCCAAGCTTTATTGAAAAGAAGAGTGAAGAGTATCAGAAGTCTCCTAGCTAGACACTAGCATTTGTACTTTGACATTTATTGGGCTTTGATGAGCAACGCAGCCTGGGTCAGTCTAGATGCTGAAATGTGCCAGATTATACAGGAAATTGAAACAAAGGCACCTATACAGAGTCTTTGAAGGGGAAAGAGGGAGAAGGTGGCATACAGAAGGTCAAAGGAAAGATCACGATGTGCAACTGGAGCAAACTAAGATATAGACATCTTAACGGGATTCCGGAGGTCATAGGAAGGAAGGATGGAAATTCAGCTGGCCAGCAGACAGAGCCTAGCATCTTGATTTGTAACTCAAGATTTCTTAATACAGTCTCTGCCAGGCAGCAAACATTTGCTTCTAATAGCTGGTGATTCTTATAAGTGGCAGCAAAGTGAAAGTGAGCAAAGTAAAAAGTCCATGTGGAGTTTCAGCACTTCATTGTATTTTACTCATTGATTCTCACAGCTGTCTAGAAAAAAAGCTTTTATGCATAGATTGCAGTTTAAGAATTTGATTCTAATAAGCAGCTGATCCCATCACACAAGATGATAAACAACCTGGCAGATGCTGTAGAATTCAGAACTATAAGAGAGATTCATTTCAAGGGTAGGGGAGATGTTCGAACAGATTCCTATTTTATAAAAACTGTAAAATATAACTTCCCCCCAAGAATAGTTAGAGTCTATCAAGTCCTATATTTTCTCTCATGAAGGAGCCCATGACAAATGCTTTAAAAAGAGGCTCAGTACATACCTGCAAGTTTCTGGATTCATAGATTGTAAGGCTGGAAGAGATCTCGCATTGGCAATCCATAGGGGTGCACACAAGTGCATGTACACCTCCTGAGATTGGCCGTGCACTCCCTGGAAGTGCCAGCCGTAAAACTGGAAGTACACTTCCGGTTTTGCTGCTGGCTCGGCAATTGGCGATCTGGTGCCCCCCCACACTTGGGAGGCACCAGTCACCCATGGGACCTCAGAAGATCATCGGGTCCATCCCCTGCACCAAGCAGGAAAGATAACTGGGGGCCAGGTGACCCCAGCAAGGTGACTGTCTAGTCTCCTCTTGAAGATTTCCAGGGTAGGCAATCGCACCACCTCTGGAGGGAGCTTATTCCACAGTCTGGACACCCTGACTGTGAAGAAGTTTTTCTTAATGTTGAGCCTGAATCAATCTTCCAGGAGTTTGTGGCCATTACTACTGGTTTTCCCCTCAGGTGCCCTGGTGAACAATTGCTCACCAAGCCCTTGATGCTGAACAGTTTCTCACTGAGCCCTTGATGTACTCCCCTAGTGTAGTGGTAAGATACTACTAGGTCCCCTCTCAGCCTTCTTTTCCTCAGGCTGAAGAGTCCCAGATCTGTCAGCCCTTCTTTATATGGCTTGCCTTTTAAGACTCTGATCATATGGGAGGCTCTTCTTTGGACTCTCTCAAGCTTGTCCATGCCCTTGTTAAAGTGTGGTGCCCAGAATTGGACACAGTACTCCAGCTGTGGTCTTACCAGTGCTGACTCCAGCTGTGGTCTTACCAGCGCTGACTCCAGCTGTGGTCTTACCAGCGCTGAGTACAGCAGAAGAATCTCCTCCTTGGCTTTGTTGGAGATGCACTGATTGATGCATGCTAGAGTATTATTTGCTCTACCATCGTACTGCTGGCTCATATAATGCAATATATCTTGAGGGAAAAATTGATGAGGAGGGAAGAAGGAATCATTTCCAAGCAGGGCTGCAGCTAACATTAGGCCCAGGGGATGGAAAATATTTATTCTGGCACAGTAACAACAATTGTGTTTTTCTTCTATCTAGTCCCCTTTTGAACTGCACAAACTTACTTGCCTCAGTAATACCCTTTGCCAATGAGTTCCATGGATTCATTCTAGACAGAATAGAAAAGTAAAACCTTTTATTCTATTAACCTATCCTTACCAGTTATAAATTGCTGAGTCCCTCAAACAAAGCAGGAAATATGTACTAGTGCTATCCCTCTCAGAGCCAATAATATCCTATTAATTAACCACATTATGTTATTCATCTTTATAAAACAGGCCTGTTAGCCATACTTGCCTGAATGGTGAATGCCACCGGCTCTACTTGCACCCTCCCATTGATGATGAAGCCTTGATTAGTCCTATCTGTTGCCAGAAATGTAAATCTGTCAATCTGGGAATCCCCTCCTCCATGTTTATATGCTACATCCATGTTGTCCACATCTTGCTGGGTGAAATTGTGCTGCAGGAGTACAGCCCCTCGGTAATACAGTTGGCCATATTGAGGAAGCTGTGCCAAGAGGAATGTAAGGTTCTCTGAGGAAGTGTCTGGGTCTGAAATCTGCAGGACATCAGGAGAAATGAGTGCCATAGCGCCTTCCACTAATCTTAACCCTTTGTTCCTAGACACTGTAGGCAAAGCTTGGTCCATTGTCTCCAGAGTGATCGTGAACATCCCATGTTTAGTCTTCAGTCCATTGCTGATGATGAATCTGGCAAAGAGAGGCAAGGCAGCCTTCAGCATGTGCTCTTGATTCACCATGTACTGAAATGAAATGATAATACACACCTTTACTAAAGGATATGCTTTGAAGGGGCTCTGAAACGCACATAAAAACTGGATCTTTGATGGTGTTCTGCCTCTCATTTGACTCATACTTAGATTGAAGTATGTAATTTAGAAAAACAGAAGCAGATTGCCAGGTAGAGGGCAAGCTTAACCCTTCTCATACCAAAGGAGTGCTTGTGGAGAAAATAATATATCTACCCTCACAAACATAAAGGAAGTGATTTATATAAAGCATAGTAGTGATCTAGCTACCTTGCTAGGGTTTAGACTGATGAAATCAAAAGTGGGATGCATTTGCTGATCTCATTGTACAGTACATATTTGTTCACATACCAAAAGTTTTAACTTTAGGAGCATGTGGATTGTAAAAGCAGTTATGATACATGGACAGAGACAATGAAAAGAACTGCATCTGCTTGTAGATTGGGTTTGATCTGCTTAGTGATGTTAGCCCCTCACTTCCATAAGCACAAAATTCACCAAAAACTGATAAAAAACCAAGACAGTAAAGGGAATGTAGCATTATATTCCCATCTCACTGGAAATGCTCCTGGTAACACTAAACCCAAGTCCCATATATAGATGTAAATCCCATCATGTTCAGATGCAAATAGGACTCCAATATCTCAGTGTCACATATTTGTGTTTCCTTACAGAGGCTCAAATTAAAATTTCACTTGGAGATTTAAAATCTACAGTAAGGACCTGGCAGAATTGGATAGGTGCTAGACTTTATTTTTAAACCATGGTGTGTGCATTTGAATTTCTCTGTGGATCATATTTGCTGCATTTATTCTCTTCATGTAACTTTTTAGTCACAGTAACGCAAATATTTCTGTCTCAAGTAGAAACACTTTCTGACATTTACTGTAGTGTTAAGCTTTATAATTTTTGCTCTTATTTTGCATGGGAAAGAGAAAGACCCAAATAAAGAGCTTGGTAACAAACTGGAAGGTCATCTGTCAGTTATGAAATGGTAAAGAAATTAGAGGGTGTTATTTCACTTACTTTAAAGTGGTGGCTGAGCATAAGGGAAAAACAATTTTGTAGACTATTAAATTAATCCTAGTTGTTAGTGGAATGCTTATTTCCTTCTATTTTTCTTAAAAATCTAAAATTGAAAATTGTGGTGAAAGATATTTCAGGGGTTTGGGAGGCTGAAAAGTCCACTGCAAGATTCTGATTGAGTTATACATCACATCATCATAAGGTGCCACTGAGCTATATCAGTTGGTTTTTCCCCTCTGAATATGATATATAATGCTGCTGCTGATGTATAATGTTCTTCCTTGCTGCTCTCCATTTATTTATTTTGTCATGATGGTGAAAATGCACACAGCTGCCTTCCTAGGTGTAAAGGTTCTCTTTGTAAAGAGATTTTTTTTTTGCATTGATATGTTTCCCTTGCCCCAGGGTCTCCCTCTTTCCCCTCCATGCTTAGCTTTGTGTGCATGCATTATTCCACTTATTACATTCATGAATTTAAACTCATATGGAAAAGTGCAACTGATACATCATATATAACCACAGGTACATACACACTTAAGTGTCTTTCCACTCATCACTTGGCTGCCATTTTACTTATGCCAAGTGAAGACTGCTAGACAGTCTGCTTCCTTGTCTCACCTTCATCTACTGATTGAGAAGCTTTGCCACTGAAACCAGAAAAGTGCTACAAGAATTGAAACATCAGAACTAGGATTGATGTTGTTCACCTTGAATATAAGTGACTTTAAGTAGGTCATGGAAATGGCTTGCTGTATTGCACAGGCTGTCCAGCTAAAACCCTTCACTACCTACAGTGATGCCCAATAATTAGGGGCTGACCAAATTGAAAGCAGGCACTATGCCATCAGACAGATGGGAATGAGTGTAAGCAGGCCAGAGACTATATAGGAGTTAGAAATATGTTTACTCAGGGCAGTATTCCCAGTTGGGAACATAGAGGCAGCTGTCTGTACTGACCTAAAGCTGTTGTGCCAATGGTAAAAGGGATGTACTATGACTAATCTAGTGAGATTGGATATACAACTGGCATGATGATGATAAATAAGAAGTAAAAAAAAAAAAAACATGTTCACACAAGACCTTATTTTAGCTTTTTAAAGACAGGAAAAGTGCAGGCCAGGGGTGCAGATTAGATCCTTCCACTGACGCATCCCCTTCCTTGGCTTAACCTAGGAGGCCTCTTGGGTAATGTCTCAAACCTACATATAATAAACCTGTTTGGAAGAATAGTTCAGATCATGAATATGAAAGTTTGGTTCAGAACCTTCTATAGGATGCTGGACAAGAATGAAGCTCTTAGATTTATTAATAAGGTTGAAAATTCCAATGCAAATACTGCACATAACTTGATCTTCCAGGTTAATGAAGCTAGCTGTGTCCAAGAAGTAGCCTTTTCTACATTTGGAGGGGGGGTGGGGAAGGGGGATGTTCTGATTTACTTCTGCTTCAACTTTCAATTTACTTCTGCTTCAACTTTCCCTTAGGAATAGAAAGCAGCCAAGATTCTCATTACTCTGATGAAATTTAGGGGACAACTCTCAGGCTTAGTTAGGAGGACATGTCGCATGGTTTGATTTCACCATTACCAAGGTTTCATGCTTTCTGCAGTTCCATGGCAATAGAGTTGGCTGTAGAACCTACCATCTGTCATGGCATTTAAAAGATAAAAATGGAATCATAAATAGTGCCAGCTCATTACAAAATCGAGCCAGCGTGTCAAAATGGAGGACATTAGCATGTTCTCTTAGCATCCTGCTGCCAGCATCTGATGTCAGGTTGCTAATCACTTGAAGTCATCTGTCCAAACAAGCACTGCCAAATCTTTCTTCCAGGCCAGCAGCACCAAACAATACAGAGAAATTTATGATTGAAGAAAGTACTTCAGCAGAAGGTAAAAATCTGATCATTTAAACTCCCCATATAATTAATGTCACCATTTCTTGTTTAAAAAAATAATCTGCCACCGTACTTATATCTCCACACAACCAAATTCTTTGCCAAATACTAACAGCAAGGAACATCAATTACTGTGATTAAAACTGACACTATATTTATTAAAATACCATAACCTTACTTTTATGACAACAGCCTTTCTAATTAGGTTCTACATCACTAACTCAGACAGAAGGCTTATTTACATGCAAAGTTGCGCTAATTTAATTTAAGGTGTGATTTTGAGCTGATTTAGATAAACTCGTGGGAAAGGCTGTTTGAATGCTCTTGTTTCAGTTTAAACCAGGCTGATTTCAGTTTAGCTTAAGTGGATTAGGAGCAGGTTATGCTAAACTGAAATAATCCACTCTTAAATAAGTGCATCTACACACAAAGATTTGCACTGGTATGACTTGACTTATATACATTTTTGTTCTAAACAAAGCTGTAATGCTTCACATGAATGTATCACAAAGCTTCCCAGAGGTGTGGTAGGTATCAAATATTGACTCTGACAAATTCTCAGATGAAAATGAGCGACTTTAGGACACCTCCACTAAAGATGACCAAAAAGAATTTCCGATCTATGACAACTTTGTGTAGAAGAAGATAGGATAGGGTGACACATTATTAGAGACTAACTGATTGGGAGAGGCATGAGCATTCTCAAGCTATAGCCTACTTTATCAGATGCTAGGAATGGACTGTCAGAAAGAAAAAAATAGTTACAAAGGAAAGAATTTGAAAATTTCCTTCTTCTCTGTTTAGACAGAAAAGTTCAGAAAGTTTCCAATCAGAAATGTCCATCTGTTTTAATTTTAGCTTGTGTCAACACTGTATATACCTGAACTGTAGGAGGGCCTCAAGCTTCCAGCTTTCCAATGGGCTAAACTTCCTATCATGCAGCTTAGCCAGCAGAGATTGCAGTGCATCATGGAAACTGTGATTCATAGGGAAGAATGGGGTCTTGACCCACCTGAACTCTAACCTCCCACAAGGATAAGGGCAGATCACACAGCTGCAGTCCATTGTTGAAACAAGCCTGAATGAGATGTTTCTATTTCATTTGAGAAACTAAACTTTTTATTTGTGTTAAGAAAAAAATATTTCACTTTGCTTTTCCAAGAAGGAAAATGAACCTGAGGCAAAACTGGATTTTTCCCATGGAAATTTAGATTTTTCAGAAATCCCAATATTTTTGCCAAGAATGTAATGAGTAAAAATTTTCAGTCTGCTTTACTCAAAGATTACATCTATTCCTTAGGAAATGCCATATGTAACCTTCCTTTTGCCTTATTTTGCTCTCTTCAACAAAAATCTCATGGAAGAACCTCCCCAGGTTTGAGAATGGCTAGATTCAGTCCTCTCTCTTATAACCCCCTTCCCCACCGCTGCCAACAGTGCTGGCAGCATCTGTGGGAGCTCCCTCGCTTACCACTGCCATGCTCCTGCCGCCACTGCCATGCCCCCTCAGCCGCGAGGGGCACACATCATTCATGCAGAGTAGTATGGTTAAATAAACTATGAGGAATGCTGTCCTTTCTGACACTTTGCATTTAAGTTTTATCTAGTCTCTGCTGGCTTGTGAGTCAGGTTCAGGACTGGAACGGAAGCACTGGGTTCCCCATGTGAAAGTACATTTGAGAGTCAAAAGTCTGCCAAACAGTTCCTAGAAGTAACAAAGTTTTGTCTGTAAATTTACTTTCACAGCTGCTGCTAGATTAGTGAGTCTATTTGTCAGTGTTTTAAAGAAATACTAGAGAACTCAGAAAGCCTTTAATTTTACTTAGAGCTTTTAAAAAAAATAGTATTACAGTGATATAAGAGGCATAGCACTAAAGGGCAGGACAGAGTATACATATTGAGACAGTATTACAGATGGTTATATTTTCTACTTTTCCACCAGAAGCCACAGCTGAGACCTAGGAAGTTAAATTAAATAGGTGGACTGGATGGCAGTCATTCAGTTTGATTTCAAGAACAGCTTTAACAACCAGCATGAAAGAAACATGTTCAAAGTCCTGATTAAGAAACCTTACCTCAAACTCTCACTCAGAGTTAACAATACTTGGTGGCAGCATTGATTTTAGTATGAAAGAAAGATGATTTGATGGCAGGAGATCACTTTTATGCTAAAAGTGAAACAATAAGAGCTGAAATCCTAGAAAATAATATATTAATAGGACAGATTCTTGTTTATAGTTTTGCTGAAATCAGTGAAGCTATGCCACCAGTTGAGAGTCTGGATCCAATATAAAACATGAGGAAGCTCAGTAACATAACTGGTGCTTTGCAGAATGGAGGCCCCTGTTTCTTTGGGATACAGGATACTGAGAAAGAATAAATTACATTATTTTCAGGTAAATCATTAAATCTTATGTGTAAGTCTTGATAAATTTTGTGAGGAATAAAAAGCACTAAAATGCGTTGGAATACAGATGACAAACAATGGTGAATTGCCATTCTTTTGAGTTTGACTTTACCAAGTTATTTTTAATGTGGCTCATTGAAATAATTTTTTTTTGGCAAAATCTCTTGGGGACATAATTATGAAGCTTCAAAGATGTAGATTTACAAGGACTCAAAGTATTTGTGTATTTAAGTTTATGACAGAAAAAAGCTGTATTGGAATATGTAATCTGGCCAATCTATTAGCATATGTAATGATTTATTAAGGTCAGTTCTATAACTAGAGAAACAATCATGATGTGTTAACAACTGAGGCAGAGACACCTTATGGACTGAACCACCTGTCTGAAAGACATAAATAATTCTGATAGCCTGAGCTGAAAGTTTCCAACCTAAAATGAACAACAAAAGCAGAGCTGGGAAACTAGTAAGCAACTTTATAGGTAAGCTGGTCCTTCATGAAATATTCAGGAAAAAATTAACTATTAGAAAAAGCTTTAGCTGTGAGATGAACACAGTGACCTGAAAATATTCTATTTTAGGGGGTTTTCTATAGTGCATACATTCTCTGATGTGATCTGTTACATGCACACATATACACACAAATGACAGAGTACCAGTGGCTGTGTAGGGAGCATATAACCCTTGTGTAAAGCTTAGCCTAATGAGAGGTCCCACAATGTCTATCTGGGTGATAAACTGGGGATGCCAAAAATTTAGGTTCTACTTCTCTTCAGAACCTTGCATCTTGTCTCCACTGTGATGTGTATGTCTTAGTGGCATATGTGAAGTAACAACGTAGGCTGAGGGAAGAGAGGGGAAAGAATTTTCTTTTGCCCCATGCATATCCCCAGCATTGAGCCAACCCATTGGTCTAGCTACTCAGCTAAAAATATTCCCTTAAAATAAACCTTCCATTCAAAGCTATCAAAAGTCTTTACTTTGACAAGAAAGACCTAGGTCCTGGCAAACTACATCACTAAACACCCTTTCGGTGCTTTCAGCTGGTCTGCTAGCATTAACAAATGCCATCTGGTTTAGTGTAAAATGGATTTCTAATCTGGAGCACTTTGGCAAAGATCTCAGTATCACAATATAAGAGGGATGTTTTTCTGAATTATCTGAAGTCCTCAGGATCCATCTTCTTGTAACTGATTGTACTACTTCAGATGGAGCACAAAAAACTGAATGAGAAATTAAATCTCCTGTTCAGTCATCCAGGAAGGTGTATTTGGAAAAGCACTGAAGGATATCAGATTGAGTACTATAAGAAATGTGCATCACAACACTCTTGCCTCCTTACTGAATGTAATATTAATCCAGTAACACAATTAACAAGGAAAATTGTTATAATTTGTCAGGAAATCTCAGAGATGTTATTGAGTGCTCCTCCTACATTTAGTTTTCATTAGCCATGTACTATTTCTTGCGTGTTATAAAAATGTTCAAGCCATTATAGGTGAATGAATGTAGCCCAGACTATTTCTTCACTGTTTTAAGGGATGAGTGTGTTATGTTAGTCAGGAATAAATCTAATAAAGCAGGAATTACTTTTGCTATATGCATATTGATTTTTTCCACCCAAAATGAGTGAAAAGGAGAGTGCTCCTTTCCAATTAATTTTATTATTAACCAAGACAGCTAGGAAAAAAGCAATTCTTCAGAGCTTACCTGAATGTATCTTCAGGAGCAGTTGCCTTGCTACTGTGGACATAGCAGACTGCCTGGCCTGCTATATCCATTTGGCTGAAACTTGTGATGGGGATTTCCGGAAAGCTGACGTACTCTATCTGTCCATACTGAGGTGGAGAAGTTATCACATAAAGGAGTTCCTCTGGTTTGTCAGTTCCATCAATAGCAAGAAGGGCATCAGTCGTTATGTAGCTTCTATCCCCCTTCGACACAGTAAGTGGCCTTATAAAAACAGCAATATCTCCTGCCAGATATATGAGGATAGGTTAAAATGGTCCTATTAGTATTGATATATGTCTCCTGCATGTTATGTTATAACATTCTAGACACTGTAGATGAAAGCATGGTTTTAAGTAGTGATTATGTCCTAAATCCAACACAGTTTAGGGCTAAATCCAACATAGTTGTCTTTCTTAAATCCAAAGACATTTCATGGTTATAACACAAGACTGGGAAGCAGGACACCTGAACCCTGTTTCTAGCTTTGCCTGTCTTAGGACATGCTTTGGCTAAGCTGGTCACCACTTTTCTGTGCTTTGGTTTGCCCATGTACAAAATGGAGATAATATCCATTTTATAGGCATGTTGTCAGCCATTTTACTGTATAATTGAAAGACACTTGGTGGATCTATGGAAGTGAGGAGCAAATTATTAACTAAATATATTACCTAGAATCCCTTTTGAAGAAATAGTGAAGAATCGTGTCCTACAATGAGTTATATGCAGACAGACGCTCAAGGCCTGCACAGAGCCCCAGTAAAACTAGTGTGACCCAGCTTGGTGTTCACTGAAGGCTTGGGGTGTCAGTTAGGATCATAAATGACAATTTATTTTTCAGACTGAATTTGTGCCACAATTAGTCACTGTAGGACATAAAGTCAGCTAGATTGTTACCCTTCTCCATGTCCTTGATGCTGATGAAGAAGTCCAGTGCTGGGGACTGGTTGTCTCCATCCCACAGATGAAATGTGAAACTGTCTTGGATCTTGGATCCTATAGCTCCTGTATGCACATATCTCACAAGGTTCAGATCTATTTCTTCCTGAGTGCAGTTCATTCCAGTTTGGAGAGTCACCCAGTCCCTGCCTACCTAGAATGAATAAAAATCTGTCAGTATCCAGACATTATCCCACAGCGGCTTATTTAATAAATATACCTTGGTGATATACAGAGATTGCCAATGATAGCCTAGTTGATAGCCGGACCTTTCCTAGCAAGACATTATAGGGCCAGTATATGTCAAGAGCTTTGCTACCAAGCAGTCAGAAGGGCTGTGGAACGGAGAATGCTAAAAACTTATCAGATCGTATTCATATATTTTCCCTGATATTCAGCCTATATTTTCCCAATTTAATATAATGCTATTACTCCTAGTTTTACTTGTGCTCATAGAATCATGTTTCTGTAGGGAAGTCCCAAAGTCTTTTCCTGGAAAAATCTGACATGTCAGATGCAGTCTCCTAGAATCATACAAAGTTAGGGTTGGAAGTGATTTCAGGAGGTCATCTAGTTCAACCCCCTGCTCAAAGCAGGACCATCCCCAACTATATCATCCCAGTCAAAGCTTTGTCTAGCCAGGTTTTGAAAACCTCCAAGGATGGAGCTTCCACCTTCTCTCTGGGTGACCTGTTACAGTGTTTTACTACCCTCCTAGTGAGAAAATGCTTCCTAAAAATCTAACCTAAACCTCCCTTGCTGCAACTTGAGACCATTGCTCCTTGTTCTGTCATCTGCCACCACTAAAAACAGTCTAGCTTCATCCTCTTTGTAACCACCCTTCAGGTAGTTGAAGACTCCTATTAAAACCCCTCTCAGTCTCCTCTTCTCTAGACTAAATAAGTCCAGTTCCTTCAGCCTTTCCTCATAAGCCATGTACTCCAGCCTCCTCACCATTTTTGTTGCCCTCTGCTGGACTCTCTCCAATTTGTTCACATCCTTTCAGTAGTGGGGGGCCCAAAACTGAACACAGTACTCCAGATGTGGCCTCACCAGTGCTGAATAGAGGGGAATAATCACTTCCCTTGACCTACTGGCAACACACCTACCAATGCAGCCCAGTATGCTATTAGCCTTCTTGGCAACAAGAGCACACTGCTGGCTCATATTCACCTTATTTCCCACTGTAACCCCCAGGTCCTTTTCTGCAGAGCTGCTGCCCAGCCAGTCAGCCCCCAGCCTGTACTGGTGCATGGGACTGTTCCATCCTAAGTGCAGGACTTTGTACTTGTCCTTGTTGAACTTCATGAAATTCCTTTTGGCCCAATCCTCCATTTGTCTAGGTCACTCTGAATTCTAGCCCTACACTCCAGTGTATCTACTACTCCCCGCAGCTGAGTGTCATCTGCAGACTTGCTGAGGGTGCACTCTGTGCCATCTTCCAGGTCATTGATAAAAACATTGAACAAAATTGGCCCCATGACTGACCCCTGGGGCATTCCACTTGATACCAGCTGCCAACTAGACATCGAGCCATTGATAATTACCCTCTAAGCCCTATGCTTCAGCCAGGTTTCTATCCACCTTACAGTCCATTCATCCAAACTGTACTTCCTTAGCTTGCCTGAGAGAATGTTGTGGGAGACCATATCAAAAGCCTTGCTAAAACCAAGGTACACCACATCCACCAGTCTCTCAGCATCCACAGAGCCAGTCACCTCATCACAGAAGGCAATCAGGTTAGTCAGGCATGACTTGCCCCAGGTGAATCAGTGCTGACTGTTCCTAATCACCTTTTTCTCATCCAAGTGCTTAGAAATAGATTCCTTGAGGATCTGCTCCATGATTTTTCCAGGGACTGAGGTGAGGCTGACTGGTCTGTAGTTCCCTGGATCCTCCTTTTTTCCTTTCTTAAAATATGGGCAATATGTTTGCCATTTTCCAATCATCTGGGACCTCTCCTGATTGCCATGAGTTTTCAGATATGATGGCCAGTGGCTCTGCAGTCTCATCAGCCAACTCCCTCAGCACCCTCAGGTGCTCAGCCCCCTCCCCATGGACTTGTTCATGTACAGCTTGTCTAAGTAGTTCTTAACCTGTTCTTTCACCACTGAGGGCTGCTCATCTTCTCTCCAAACTGTGCTGCCCAGTGCAGTACTCTGGGAGCTGGCCTTGCCTGTGAAGACTGAGGCAAAAAAGGCATTGAGCTCTTCAGCGTTTTCTGCATCTGTTGTCACAAGGTGACAATGCCTCCCCCGTTCAGTAAGGGACCCACACTTTCCCTAATCCTCCTCTTTTTTACACTTCACATCCCTAGATGCAACTCCAACTGTTCTTTGGCCTTCCTGAATTCATCTCTGCATGCCCATGCAATGCTCTTAATTCTTCCCCAGTTATTTGTCCAAGTTTCCATTTCTTATAAGCTTCCTTTTTGTGATTTAGTTTACTGAAAAGTTCCCTGCTAAGCCAGGCTGATTTTCCGCCATACTTGCTAGTCTTTCTGCACATCAGGATGGTTTGTTCCTGCACTCTCAATAAGGCTTCTTTAAAGTACAACCAGTTCTCCTGGACTCCTCTCCCCTTCAGTCTGGCTTCCCAGGGGATCCTGCCATGAGTTTCCTGAGTGAGTCAAATCCTGCTTTTCTGAAGTCCAGGGTCCTTACTCTGCTACTCTCTGTCCTTCCTTTTCTCAGGATCCTGAACTCAATCATCTCGTGGTCACTGCTGCCCAAGTTGTCATTCACTGCTACATTCCCCACCAATTCTTCCCTGTTTGAGCAGCAGGTCAAGAAGAGCATGGCCCCTAGTTGGCTGCTCCAGCACTTGCACCAGGAAATTGTCCCCAGTACTCCCCAAAAACTGTGCACCATTGTATTGCCCTCCCAGCAGATGTCAGGGTAATTGAAGTCCCCCATGAGAACCAGGGCTTGTGATCAGGAAGCTTCCACTAGCTGTTTAAAGAAAGCCTCATCCACCACTTCCTCCTGGTCTGGTGGTCTACAGCAGACACCCACCATGACATCATCCTTGTTGCTCTCCCCTCTAACCTTAACCCAGAGACTCTCAAAAGACTTATCTCCAGTTTCATACTGGAGTTCTTAGCAAGTATATGGCTCTTTTACATAAAGTGCAATTCCTCCTCCTCTTTTCCCCTGCCTGTCCTTCCTGAACAGTTTGTACCCAACCATGACAGTGCTTCAAACATGCAAGTTATCCCACCAAGTCTCTGTTATTCCAGTCAAAACATAGTTCTGTGATTGTGCAAAGACTTCCAATTCTTCCTGCTTGTTTCCCAGGCTCTGTGCATTCGTGTACAGGCACCTGAGATAACTAACTAGTTGATTGCCCTGATTTCTCAAGAAGTATGAGAGCACCTCCCCTGTTGCCCCCTCCTGCTTGCTCTTCCTCCAGGTCTCCCACTTCCCCACTTACCTCAGGGCTTTGGGCAGTTTCCTGCACTTTGGAAGATTTCAAAGCATTTTAAAACAAAAAAATACTGTATTGATCAGAATCAGCACAGGTGGCACTTCATAGGAGTTGTGTGCCAGGTTATCATGCTGTTAAGATGTTTAAATACCAATAAGCACAGCACACCCAAACGACAGGGCTTTAAAATATTTCTATACAATCTCTGTTAATCCCACATAGAAACCTATACCAAATATAGCTACCAGAATCCACCTACCAGCTTATTTTCCTCCCAAATGTATGGGATACTATGTTCCCACATCCCTGTGCCATTCAGAACCAAGTCGCTGTTGTCCTACATAATTCTGTAACCTGGGATATAACATCAAAATACTATATGTGCTTATTGCTCCATCAGATTTTTCTGTATAATAAGGAAAAATAAAAGCTTTTGCATCTCCTTTTCCGTTCTTTTTTTTTTGTTCTAATCAATCATCTTTTTCTTCCCTCCTGTCTCTATTTTATTTTTTTCACTCTCTCTCTCCTTATTAGCACTTATTTTCTGTCCTAAAATCCCTTTGGCCTTTCCCTTTCCTCTTTCTCACCATATACTGTCTTCCTATCTCATTGCCTCATGGGGTCTCACTCCACTGTCTTCCTGATTCCTGAAGGATCACCCCATCTCCTATTACTGGGGCCATTCTCTTCTCCATATGGTGTAACTCTTCTCTCTCCCCTTTATTACCAGGCTCTCCCTGCTAGATTGCTGAGTTTCTTTCCCTTCAAGGATTTCCCCTCACCATCACTTCATGATAGCCCAGCTATGGTTTTCACCTCCTCTCCACTCCAGTGAAAGATCTGGTCTCTGTTATCAAAGTGTCTAACCTGGTATGTTTGTTTGCTTCATGTATTCTTTCTATCTCATCATAACAGTGTCCTTCTCCTTCTTTCTCTTCTACAAAGAGAGTTGCTTGTTCGTTTGTTTTTTGCTAAAGTACAAAGACTAACCTTGAGCTGAAGCTGCCCATTTTCTGGAATTCTTTCAAATAAATAGTAAATTCTTTCCCTGGGGGTGTCTTTATCTTCGGCTGACAGAACAGCACTAGAAATGATTCGAGTTTCACCCATGTTCACCTCTATCTCATCCTTCCTGTGAAAAGAAAAAAGCCATGCATTGATATAAAAACAGAGAAATAATCTTTCTTATGAGTCATACCAGTGCCAGGAAAATGGATTATTCAGATGCTGAAGGAGTAATAACTGCAGAATGACTAAAAGGCAGTGCATACTTCTGTAAAACAGCAAGCAGAGGAGACAAGAAGACTGGGGAAAATTAGCAAACAGCAAAACAGAAACCAGTTCTGTGTATGTGCCCCCTCTCAGTTCTCATCTGATCTGACCAGAAGAGGTAATATGAGCCGGTTGGCTATACCACTGTTACAGACCATACCAGTGCATGCTCCATGGGCCTTTTTGGATCGTTCGATTAGCCAGGTCAGCTGTGGCCTGGTTGAGTCTTTAAAGTGGTGGCATCTGGAATGGACCCTCAATTTGACTTGTTGCCTATGGCAGGCAACTTTTTGCAGACTATGCAATGGCTTCCAGGTTTAAATAACTCCTTGTGACCTTTTGTTGTCTGGTGGGAGATGGATTCTTCAGAGTGGAGTCTTGGAAGTGCCTACCACTGGGTGTAAAAATTAGTAGGATGGAAGTCCCAGATGGTATCTAAATTCCTTTAAAGACATGCCCCTTCTTAATTCTCTGACCTTGTCTCCCTCTTTCTCCCCATCAGATAATACCAATCTGCCCCTTCATATTACTGTTGCTATTTTAGTACCACAAAAATGTTATTAATAATGTTAACACTGAAAGATCAGGCACTCAAAACTGAAGAAAGGCCAGAATTAAGGTTGCCTCTTCATGCTCATGGAGGAGCTTTAACAGGAGAGAGCATATTCTTTCACTTAATTTGGATGCTGCAGGCCCAGATAGGCCAAGAGGAGGATCTGGAAGATGTTGGAACATGTTCTATGAGGATGGATGGCTGGGAGCCTGTGTGAACTGATATATTTCAAAGGTTTGTAACTTGACCTAATTTTTATAGGCATAGCCCTGAGACAAAAATTGGTCTTTTGCCAAATTTCAGGGCTACTTCTGCTTTCCAAGGAAGAGTTGTGAGATTTGTTTTAATATTGAAAATTAACATATTTTTTCTCCTAGTTTTATTCTCAGAAATGGCTAAACTGTTGTGACTAATTGTGATGGAATCATTCACTCTTATATGGGAAAACAACATACAAAATTTTCACTCAGTTTGTCAAGTGAAAAGCAACGTGAATAAGAAAGTGTTGGGGAACCTCAGGAAGAGCTGGTGGTATCAACCTTGCCTATAATTTATTTATTGCTTGTGCATCACTGAAACCCACAATGAAATGGGAGCCATCCAAATGTCAAGTAAGACACAATCCTGACTGAGAAGGAATATTTTAGAAAAGAAAAAGAAGTGCTCAGATGTTCAGCCTTCACTTTATAAATTTGTGAGATAGGGAGGTCTCAGACTTCAGAGAAAAGGTTTTGCATCATTCTCCAAATCTGATGCTATTATCACAGTGTTAGCTGATGCATACATTAAACTGCACATCACCCAAGGCCAGAAGGGGCGGAATGCACAAGAATGCAAGAGAACTGTAGTCAACCCACTATAGGACTGGCCAGCAGAGGGGGTACAAAGACCAGGGTTATTTTTCAATAACGAAGAACCGATATCAGCCCATTTCTTTTTCTCCGTATATCACACAATCATTTTTGGTTATTAAATAAAAAAGCCATCATAATAAAAATATGTAGGATTTAGACACTTTTTATTACCAAATTTATTCTCTACTGATAATGCTCTTGTTAAACAGTCACAGAGTTGCAAAAATACAGGAACATCTTTGTTGGCATTAGTCTACGATTATTTATGGCAGACTAGCCTTATTAATCACTAATTTGCTGTTTTGATCACTGTTGAATCATTTCATCTGCACTCATCCCCCAATTTGGAATAGGAACATGTGGCTTACTTGCTCAGTACTGGTTTCTCATCATTAACTGGAATGACCTTTACTGAAATGGTTCTGAGGACTTTATGTTTCCCATCTGATAGCTGGATTGTAAAACCATCAGCGAGATTCTCAGAGTCATCATGCATGTACATCAACCTCATTCCTGGGGAGAGGGGGGTGGGGGGGAAAGAGAAAATAAATCTGTCACCTTCAAAATCTCTTTCACATCATTTCCTTCTGCCTCCATCATCCCCCCACACATGTCCACTGGTTACAGCCAGCTTGTTTCAGCTAGCACAGGATGAGCATTCTAAGCAGCAGCTGTTCATTAATTCATTAGCACCCCAGCTACTCAAAAGTTATCATGATGACCTGCTTAATGTCTTTGTTTTGAAAAAGAATTTTTTCCATCCCACCCAACTCAATATGACCAATAAGTACAGATAAACTTTGCCAGAGAGTGCACAAGGATTTGAAGAGCAAAATCAGAGGCAGTGCATTTTAAAAACAAGCAAGACTGGACTGCATGAAGTAACTTCTTAAATGAGTTTATTGATTAACTGAACAAGCTTTTTCTCTGTAAGCTGTATGCATCTCTCATTTAGGTCTAAGACTTAACAGGTGTTCATGTTACCGAAATCTAACACATGAGAGCTGGTTGTATCTTTAAGTGTTCAGGTGGATATACTGAGAAACCTTGACATTAGCTAGTTCCCATGTAAACAACCTCTGACATCTGTGACTATCCACCAGTCCAAGAGCAGACTTAGATCTCCAACAAGAGACTAAATAAAAGAAGTGGAGAGATCATAATTAGCTTCCTTGCAGGAATGAATACTTTAAAGGATGGCTTGGAGGTTGAAAGGTTGGTTGAGGGAAGAGAGACCCAGGTTGGTGACAAAGTGGGGAAACACATATGTCTAAAGACCTGTGAAATATATGATGAGTACCTGATATTTTTGTGAGTACTTTTGTGGAACATGCTGAGATACTATGTGTGGCAGAGCACCTTTGGGGTCTGCCACTTTAAGAGCATGAAGAGGCAACCGGCAGGTGTGGCCCCAGCTCTGATGTGTGACCATTTTAAGATTCAGGCCAGCAGAGCTGGAGGCAGCAGTCAAAGTAACATCTTCCAGCAGAGCTGCTGCTTCTGCAACAAACTGAGGTGAGGGCAGGAGCTTATGGGGGATGGTTTGGAGGCTCCTGGTCCTGGGCATGACCTAAAACTGCACCCTGCTGGGGATAGGTGGCCTGGTGGGGCTGTTCATGGTGGAACAGTCTACCAGAAATGCCAGGCCAGTTACCACCCTATTGAAAGGCGAGGAGGAGCAATCCCAGCCGGGTCATGAGAGACTACAGGTCTCTGGGAGTGGGACTTAGGGGGGTGGGGGTACAGGTGGTCTTTTCCTCGCTCCTCCCAGTTATAGATCATGGGCTGAGGAGGGAGAGACGGGTCAAGTTAGTCAACCAAAGACTGTGGCGCTGGTGTCATCATGAAGGCTTCGGCTTTCACGATCACAGTCTGATCTTTGGTGAAAAGGGATAACTTCGACCTGGTGGGACTCCACCTATGACTGGGCCACTGGTATAGATGGCTATACCCTGTACAGGAGAGATCATATAGACAGAAAGGGTGGGGCTGAAGCTCTATGTCAAGGAAAGCTACACGTCCCTGCAAATTGACATTGGCACCCAGAGAGGACAACTGGAGTCCCTCTGAGTTAAAATACATGGGGAACATGGCACAGGGGACATCATGATAGGAGTTTACTACAGACCTCCTAACCAGAAACAAGAGTTACACCAGGAATTCACCAGGGAACTGGCTGAGGCTGCACGCTCTCGGTGCATGGTCTGGGAGACTTTAACTACCCAGACATCTCATGGGAAGAGCACTTGGCCAAATCCGATCAATTGCAAAGCTTCCTCATGTGCGTGGATGAGCTCTACCTGACTCAAGAAGTCTATGGGCTGACAAGAGGTAAAGCATTTCTGGACCTGGTACTGGCCAAAAGGGATGACCTAGTCAGTGACCTAAGAATCGATGGGAAGCTGGGTGATAGTGACCAGGAGATGATCACCTTTACTATCCATTGCAAGGCTGGCAAGTCAGTCAGCAATACACAAGTCCTCAACTTCAGGAAAGCTGACTTTGACAAGCTCAGGAAGCTCATTGTCAAGGCCCTAAGGGACCATGACTCAACAGGAAGAGGAGTCCAAGGTTGCTCCTCAAGGGAGTGATTCTGACAGCACAAGGAATGGCCATCCCATCTCAGAGGAAGGGTAGCAAAAGGACACAGCAGCCCCCTTCACTCAGCAGGGAACTAGAGGACCTCCTATGCTTCAAAAGAGAGACTTATAAAGGATGTAAGGCTGGAATTACCACCAAGGAGGAGTACTCAGCACTGGTCCGTACCTGCAGGGAGCAGATCAGGAAAGCCAAGGCTGCAACCAAGCTCCGTCTTGCTTCACATATCAAAGATAACAAAAAAGTCCTTTTTCAGATATGTAGGGAGTCAGAAAAAAAGCAGGGGTACCATTGGTCCCCTGCAGAACCAAGCAGGACAGCTGATAGCCAACACCCAGGAAAAAGCCAACCTGCTTAATGGGTACTTCACGTTGGTCTTTCATCAGTCCAATGGGACTGCCCTGCCTAGCAAGACATGGGATAGCGAAGTTGAGGGCGTATTTATACTCAGCATCGGTGTTGATTTAGTAAAGGATCACCTTGAGAGGTTGAACACCTTCAAGTTAGCTGCTCCTGACAGATTATACCCTAGGGTACTCAAGGAACTGGCAGGTGTCATAGCCCAACCATTGGCAAAAATATTTGAAAACTCGTGGCGCTCAGGTGAAGTACCTGAGGACTGGAAGAAGGCCAATGTGGTACCCATCTCCAAGAATGGGCGGAAAGTAGATCCCAGGAATTATGGGCCAATCAGCTTGACCTCAATCCCTGGTAAGATTCTGGGGAAAATTAGCAAGGAGACCCTTCTGGATAAACTGGCTGAGGGCAGCATCCTGAGGGATAGCCAGCATGGGTTTGTCACGGGCAGGTCTTGCCTGACCAATCTAATCTCCTTCTATGACCAGATGACATATCACCTAGACAAGGGAGAAGAGATTGACATCATATATCTGGACTTTAAAAAAACCTTTGATCTGGTGTCCCATGATCTCCTCATGGAAAAATTGGCCAACTATGGCCTTGGCTACAACACAGTCCAATGGCTGGGAAACTGTCTCCAAGGTCGGACCCAGAGAGTAGTAGTCGATGGTAGCGAATCATTATGGCACGCCAGGACCAGTGACATCCCCCAAAGCTCTGTCCTTGGACTGGTTCTCTTTAACATCTTTATCAATGATGTGGACATTGGTGTCAGAAGCGCACTGGCTAAGTTCGCCAATGACACTAAACTTTGGGGCATAGCGTCCACACCTGTGGACAGGCTAGTGATCCAGGCTGACTTGGATACACTTACTAAGTGCGCGGATACAAACCTGATGATGTTCAATACCAATAAATGTAAAATATTACACCTTGGGGAAAAAAAACTCTGCAGCATACTTATAGGCTCGGCAGTACTATGCTTGCTAGCACCACTGCTGAAAGAGACTTGAGGGTCATAATTGACCACAAGATGAACATGAGCCACCAATGCGATGTCGCAGCTGGTAAAGCAAACCAAACTCTGGCTTGCATCCAGAGATGTTTCTCAAATAAACCTCAGGATGTCATCCTCCCACTGTACTCGGCCTTGGTGAGGCCTCAGCTAGAGTACTGCATCCAATTCTGGGCTCCACAATTCAGGAGGGACGAGGAGAAGCTTGAGAGAGTCCAGAGGAGAGCCACATGCATGAAAGAGAATAGGCCTTAAGAAGAGAGGCTGAGAGCCATGGGACTCTTCAGTCTGGAAAAGTGCAGGCTCAGGGGGGACCTGGCGGCTGCTTATAAGTACATAAGGGGTGTACATCAGGATCTGGGAGCATGTCTGTTCACCCCAAGAAAAAACAAGGACCAACAGTCATAAACTCCTACAAGCTCGTTTTAGGCTGGACATAAGAAAACATTTCTTTATGGTCCGAGCCCCCAAGACCTGGAATAGACTCCCTCCAGAAGTGGTGCAGGCACCAACTCTGGACTCATTCAAGAAATGTTTGGATGTTTATCTTGCTGGGATCCTTTGACCCTAGCTGACTCCTGCCCCTTGGGCGGTGGGCTGGACTTGATGATCTTTGGGGTCCCTTCCAGCCCTAACATCTATGAAATCTACTAAATGTATGAGGGGTGCCTTAACCCCAGCCCCCGCCTTTGGGTGGGCTATTTATCATTGGTGGCAGTAGAGGGCCAGGCACGCCCCGGTGTGGCATCTGAGCCTGTGTGGGGTGCAAGACCCCAGAGAGTGGGTAGTGGGGCCAGGCACAGCTACGGCCACCTGAGCCCATGTGGGGTACAGGATCCCGGAAAGTGAGAGTGGTGGGCCAGGCCAGGCATGCTGGTGAAGGGCGCCTGAGCCTGAGGGGGGGTGTTTGACCCTAGGCCTTAGCGTAGGGGACAGAGTATGTGCCTCAGTGGAGGCAGAGGTGTAGAGCAGGGTGCAGAGGAGCACCTAATGGCCTGCACTGAAGTGGCATTTGGGAGGCCCTGGAGGGAGGGGCAGGTAGTGAGGACCTGTGAACACAGGGGCCTGAGTTAAGGCCCAGTGAGGAAGGGGCATGAAGTGGGCCTCGGTGAGCAGGGGGCTTGAGGGTAGGTCCTGCTAACATGGCGGCCAAGTTAGGTCCAGATAAGCCTTCAGGCACCTGAGGCCTCATGTGGGCCGGAGGCCGACTGGGTGGGGCAGCTGAGGAACAGCCTCAAGTAAACAATGGGGCAAGTCAGGAGCCCCTGACTGAGAGCAGCTGGGTGAGTGACTCGGTGAGAGACCAGAAGCAGAGTAAGTCCATTGTTCTGCAAACTGCCCAGCGCTTGCTCGGATGAGAGCCATGGGAGAGTCCCAAGAGGCTGCATGCTTGCTGGCCGGGGAATGCAGGGAAATAACCCCCAGGACCCCCCGGGTGAGGGCAGTATGAGTGTGGAGGGGCGGTATGAGTGTGGCCTCGCGGGGGGCAGTAAGGGAGAGACCGTGTGAGAACCAGTGGAGTGAGAGAGGCCTCAGTGAGAGGGAGGCAGTACGAGTGTGGCCCATACAGGGCAGAACACAAGAGACCTAATACTGTCCTGAGATGGGCCCAGCCTCAGGCTGGAGCAGAGTACAGCTGTTAGGAGCATCTGCAAGGCTTGGGATGCAGTACAGGGGTGGTTGAAGCTGCATACATAGGTCCAGGATAATAGGGCATTCAAAGGGTAGCCTCCCACCTAATTAAGACCCTAATCATTTAACAGCAAGGCATGGCAGGAGTAAAAAAAATCCCTTCCAGGTAAAAAGCAGGGCAGCGCACATGGGGACAGAGCACAACACCCAAAACCAGAGTCTGGTTGGCTGCTGACCAGGCTCCAAGCTGCAGAAGTGACACAGCTGCAGCTTCCCTGGCCCCCAGGAACCCAAGTAAGACTGCTGGGGCCAGCAACTGTGCTGGTCCCAGCCTCCCCTACCCCATCCGGGGTAACCTGCCACATGCCAGAGGGCACGTGGTACAGACATTCCCTGGGGACAAGTAGCAGCGGCATAAGGTGTCTTGCTGCTAGTTGTTCCGGGGGAACCAAATGTGCGTGTTCATCTGGACATGGCCCTTCAGGGATTCTCAAGGCATTAGGTATGTTGAAAAGAAAAGACCACTCAACAGATTTAATCTGCTCCCCTTAAACTTTGCTGTGAAACTACTTCTAATCAAGGTGATTAAAAACATGATGACTGTTTCTAACTGTGCTACCCTGTTATAAAAGATTAAAGTAACAAAAGGACCACTGTAAAAGTAAAGCTAAATTTACCATTCTTAAGAAGCTCCATAGAAAAGTCATGCACAGGATATCCATGGTTGTGGTGATTGCTAGTTCGCTGTTTGTAATGCATGATATCATTGCCATAAGCTCCACTAATGAGGATTCCATGCAGGGGCTTCTGAGCAATAGTAAATATCAAGCAATCCTGAGGTACATCCAAATCAACTGCGTTAATTACAAAGAGATCCAGTTCTTTTATCTGCCCCTCCTGCACCTAAATAGCAGAAGAAAGGAAAGAAAAACATAAGCTTTCATATAAAGGTAAGTTTTATTGGGTTGTTGTAGACAGAATTCTCAGTCCTCACAAAGCAGGTTCCTGCAATTCAACAGAAGCTCCTTTGAAACCAAAAGATGACACAAATTCCCTTCTTAGAGTAGATTCACTGTTTAAGCATCTGATCACTTGAGTGCTCACTTGCTTGGAAACATCAGCACAAAACCTATGTACAACTTAGCATATTTACTCATATACCGCACACCTTTTCCCAAATATCAGCCCTCCAAAACTGGGGCTTCGGTTTTAAGCTGATTTTTCTTCATCGCAATTCACTGCATGAAGGCATTAGGATATGGGGGATATGGAAGATTTGAAGTACATAAATGTAGTGTCCACTACTGTATCCCCCCATATCCTTGTTATGTGATAAAATGTGCTAGAAATGAGTGCCAATTAAATATTTGGCATTTTGTTCCCTTCCTTACAGTAATGTTCCTTGCTATGAATTCTGGGACTTCATCATTTGTTGGGTTGATCAGGACATAAAATGGTGTCTCTACTGAATGATGCTTCCCATCAGTGACATAAAGCATAAACTGGTCTGAAGTTGGTTCCATCCTCACATGCCTGGATTGTACATAGTTGACCTGAAAGGCTTTCAGATGTTTAAGCTGAAATGAAGCTGGAGGGTTTAAAGAAAGGACAAGTTAGTGCACACATTATTCTGACCTTTGGTTTTACAAACCTATTAAATATTTCTAATTACATGTTCATTCAAGATACAGGTTATTTGGTTTTTACACATACATATAAGCAGTCTTCATGCTGAGAAAGCTAGGGACATGGGCCCAAAATAAAAATAAAGTAGTACATCTTCATTCCTGGAGAATTTTTAATTATTTGAATCCATTGTAGAGCTATACCAAGGCTGAGTCAGACCTACTACATTCAATGCCTCCAAAAGAGGAACCCTTATACCACTGGGAATAATGCATTAGCATAGCACTCCTCCTGAGCTAGTTTACTCTGCTAATGAGTTTAGACTGTTCCCAGTACCCCAACTAGCTTGTTTAGAGCTAGCTCATTGCCTTGTACCATGCGGACATACCCAAAGCCTTTTAATTCTGTATTACTTAAAGGCAAAGTCTGCCCAGCCTGCATATGTGTGTGCACTGGAAAAAGAAACAAAAGCCTTCTTCCTCCTCACATCGCACAACACGTACAAGCACTCAGGAGAATACCAGTTCTTGTAGCTCAAAGCAGCTCAGGAACTACTTCTCTACTCCCCTGGGGTGCATGGCCTGCATAGGAAATGAGGGAGAAGGAAGAACTAGGGCCTCACTTGCACCAATCACAACTTAACTCTACTTGACTATGTTGTATTCAATGAAAGGAGAAAAGAACCCACATGTTCCCTCCATAAACCAGAATGTGTTACATAGACTTCTGTCTCCCTCAGACAAAATGTCTCTAGCTGTTTCCTTTGGGAATGTGCATAATGAAACCCTGAATGAATAAACAAGAACAAGCAAATATTAAAAGAACTTTCTAAATCTGGAGTTTGGGGAGGGGTGGATTTTCAGTTTGGAGAGCACTCACAACAATTGGGATTTATGTCCCTCTCAGTAGGGCACTTCTGAAAATGTGACCTTTGTTTTCAAGAGCAATTAATATATCAATGGGTGTCCTGGGTGAAGACATTTTAAGAGGACAGCGCATGCTGCGGCCCCCCTGCCCTGCCGACATTCAAGCTTAGGAGGCATACATAAAAGCAGAGATAGCCAAAATCTCTTGTCCCTTTTGAAAATGTATGCCTTGGGGCCTAATGTAAGACATCCTTTTTTGCACAATAGGTGGATAAGTGGGGTATGAGCCCCAGGCGCTGCCTAATGGGCACCTCACACGCCCATCCCGTCCTCTCACTCATCTCCACTCCAGCACCTTTTCTGTGGCAGCTTCAGTTCTAGCTCCAGCAGTGGGGAGGGCAGAAGAGTGGTGGCAGCACATGGTACCCTGGGCAGTGGTGGTGCACAGTGCCAGAGTAGTGGCTGGAGGTTCACAGCTGCAGAGGAAGATGTAACCTTCCTTATTTTGTTGCAGAAAAATCAATCTTTAAATGGCTGTTTGACACACATGTTAACAGCAAAAAGGGATGTGACATCTCCCACCACAGCAGCAAACCTCCAGCTACTGCTCCTTCACTGTGCAATGCCAATGCTGAGGGTACAAAACCTGGTTACTTCTGCCTCTGAAAAATCTTGGCCATCATACTTTATTAATAAAAATCAACTATGGTAGTGCTTGGTGGAAGAGGAAAATGTGTTACAGGATAAAGAGAGCTTGTTCTCATCTTGTATGACATTTCTAGGAGAGATTGAAAGTGTAGAACTGAAATATACTTAATTTTAACTTATTTCTTCTTCACAGAGCTATGTTCTCTCTTTGAAACCTTCCTACACAGTCCCAGTGCTTCTTATTTTGTACACCTTCATCCCCAGTAGATCTACATTACTTTACAGCAGTCTGTTATCCCTATATATTACAATTAGTGTTGTACTTCTTGCCATCATGTCTCCACATACCTATACTTATACCAATGTTGCTCTTTTCAAAACCAGGAGAAGGTAGTATATTTTCAATGTAACCACACTGGGGAGGAGAAACCAAAACAAACTCTAAGTCATCGGCTGTGGTGTCAGGGTCAGTGGCAAACAAATGGTTAGTAGTAAGCACAGCTGAGAAACCCTCATCCACAACAAACATGGCACCTGTACACAAATGATATAATGATAAGTATTATTACTTATTTAACATAACTTACAGGGATATTTTAACTAAAGAAATTGAGACAATAACTAATGGAGAAATGAACTACAAACTCTCTGGTACCGATGTTTTCTAAACATACTATCAACTCTACTTTCCCACCATGCAAGCAAAAGGGGAGAAAAAAATCAGAAACCAGTTTTATTGATAAGCTATTAAGTATGGTTTATGTGCTGCTCAAGATCAGTTGTTACCTCTGTTTGTCAGCGCATTAATTGCCTGAGAGCTGTTACGAATTGCTCATAATGAACAATTTTTCATGCATCGGTGCTTAACTTCCCTGCTGGGACAATGACTCATTTCCAGAACATTGCTTGGGTGATAAGCTGCAAATTACAAACCTACTCATACATATGTTTAAATGTTCTCTGAGATACACAACATGTACATGATGCCTACAAATAAATAACATAAAAGAAACGATAGGCCTATAGAACCTGTGCCTTTAGTATGTGTACTCTGGGTCTGATGCAAAGGCCACTGAGTCAGAGGAAAGTTCTACCAAGATCTATTGGTGGATTAAATGTAAGCTATCAGTTACAAGCCTACATTTTTAATAACTGTTTTTTATGCTTGACAGTTTAGTAAAAAAAGCCAAACTGGTTTCACATCTATTACATTCAACTCATCAAGGGATGGATCCTATACCACCTTTTAGGTGCATAATTGGACTTAGGTGCCTACATGTGATCCTATTTCACCTTGCTCAAGTCCCATGAAAAACAGTTAATTGAAAAGTTGGGTATGTTTTCCTTCTTCTGTTCCCCAGCTGAGAGTTGGATTGCAGCCTAGGGCAGCCTGACATGCTACACATTCACTTTAAGACATGAAGCAAGTGAGCTACAAAGATATTCTACATTGTAAATGTAATGTGGAACATCTTTGTGGCTCATTTTCTATAATATCATGCCATAAATTGGCTATAACCTGTGGCACTGTTACTGTTATGATTAACATGTCAATTATGCCACAAATGTAACATCTGCCAGGGCCCTTAGGCACCAAACATATATAATAGGATCTGGCCCTAAGTGTACAGCGTACACTATACTCGTCTTCATTACCTATCAGCATAAAATGCAAGTACTACAAATAATATGTCCATGTCTTCACATAGAAAAGACCAATGTATAAAATGCAATTTAATTATACAGTAGAATAAAGTAGACAGACATAATCTAATGTTATGATTTTGTTTTGCATAAACCTGGCAGCTATTTGGGTGCAAAATTCAGATTCTGAATTTTCTTAAAGATCAGACTTACTTTGAACAGGATTTTTGGTTCAGGACCATTTCTAGGTTTCTGCCTATTTACTACGCTGAAGAAAATTGAGTAAGTTCTGGAAGGCTCTAGGTGCAGTTTATACTTTCAACAATGAAATTGTGTCAGCATATCTGAGTACTCACTTCCCTAGCCACCTGATTTGCAGATGGAATCAAGTAACTTGAAATAAGTACTTAGATATCCACCACGTGCACACTGTGCCTGCTAAAAGGATGGTTGCCTATTTGAAAAATTGGTCCATCTTATCTAAGAGTTTTGTATATTTATCTTCTTTGTTGGTCCATATTTTTAGCGCTAGAAAATACTGAGTGTCTAGTCCCTCCCTGACACCTGGTTATGTGGTATACAAGATACTATATAGTAAGTTAAAAGGAAGCTTTTCACCAGTTGCAATGGATGGTGGCTGGTTGTCCACTGGAAGTATAGTAATGTTTAGATCATATACTGGAAACGAATCATGAAGTGGTACTGGAGGAAGAAGAGGTCCATCAAAACAGCAGTCATTGACATCTGGGCCAGCTTCACCATCAGAGATAACAAAGGTTAGGGTGTCAAAACAAGGATTCAGGCCAATCTCTCCACCTGCAAAACACAATAGTTTTAAAATAAGAAACCAAAACTGGACAAAGGAACACTAGATCAGTTATGTACATTGTTTAACATTCTTAGGGTCAATTATAAAACAAAAACAGAATAAAAAGCAACAAACTCAGATTAAGTGGTTGAAATGGATTGATTCAGAGATTACACCCAGAACCTATACGCACTCCTCCTCTTAGCAGAATTCTTCCTCTGTTATGAGAACAGTATGAATAAATGGTATCTTACCCAATGTTATTAAGCGCAATTAACCTTTTGTCTTTCTCTTTTGCATGTGGCTGATTGATGTTCCGAACACCCATTGCCAAGGAAGGGGGCTGTCCATTGTAAGTCCCTTCTACATAATGGGGAACACATCCCTAATTGACACTGACACTCCTATACAGAATGGAAATGTATCCATGCCCTTGGCAGAACTGAAACAAGGACATACAATAAAGTGTCCATATAAGGTGGCATCTAGCAGAATTACAATGCACCCCCATGAAATGTTTATATGATTTTTCTGTCCAAATATGTAATCAGAAAATGGGATACAATATAGTTGTGCTTCAAGCATATTTCACAGTTTTGTTCACATGGATTACATTACATAGATGCAGCTTCTTAGTATATCTGATGTGAGCTGTCACGAGGTTATCAAGATTTAGGCTTAGGTGAGATAACTCCAAATTACTGACTACACTTCTAATCTAATGCTTTCCTCATGTCACTTACTAGTGTGCTTGTAGGTCACTACGCCAGAGACAACATCAGCTTGGGAGAATCGATCCACAATGTTACCAGCTTTCCTCACCACCCCATGGTAGGACTTTCGAGCCTGGATAAACATCAGCCTCATGTCATCACTGTCTGCATCAGTGGCATAAATATGCTCTGGAGTGATAACTACTTCCTCCCCTTCCAGACACTGTATTAGGGGAATGAGGCCAGCTTTCATGACAGGTGGCTCATCATTCACAGGTAGCACCTAATGATCAAAAGATTTGGAGATTTTTTTTCTTTAATTAAAAGTGGCTTTAAACAGATAAACAGTTCTTTCAAGATTTTGCAGCACAAACTCTGGAGTATGTACTACAAGTGAACAAGAAAGAGATGATAACTAGAATTCAATACAAACAAATAAAACAGACTACAATAGTTTTACTGTCTGAATCCAAGGAAACACAAAAGTTAAAGAAACACTAAAAAGTAAATGTAGAAGCTTTAAGGCTTAGCATTCCATAGGGTCTTTAGTAATATAGGTAAGGGAAGCAAGGGTGGGGGTGTGTGTGTGTGTGTGTGTGTGTGTGTGTGTGTGTGTGTGAACTACAATGTATATGACTTTAACTTGACATTGTCCCTTTAACTGTAGAATTTATATCTTCAGGGGAAAAAATCATCTCCTTCACTGATCTGATGCATTCCCCATGTGTAATTCTGCGGGGATTCATTCCTGACAGCAGTGCCTAAGCAGAAACAGGTGCAGATGTCTCATAACTAGTACCTGCCAAATTTGCTCTCTAACCAATATTGTCACATAAGCTCCAAAGCTAGGAGTGAAAAGCCCATGTAATCTAACTCCTTCCAATTTTTGAGGAATTCTGAAGGCTTTCAAAACGGATGTTTTGTCACTCTCTAAGCAAACACCGACATGAGCACAAGGAATGAGCACACTGACCTTGACCTGTAAGATGAACTCTACAGAATGAAAGCCATCTGTGGCTGCAAAGAGGATGTCATCATTCAGAGTCTCAGAGCCATCGTGCTGATACCTGTGGGAATTAAGTTTACACTGATTTCACATGGCTAAAATCTCTCCGTATTAAGAACTATCACGTGCAGTCTAGTCATAAAGGACAATGGACATCTTCCCCAAAATGGAATAATCCCCTCAGTGCAGCAAGGCCCACACTAGGGTCTCCACCAACTACTGAAGTCTTTGCTATGAGTTTAAATGTAAAGGGCTTTGAATAAGCCCCTGCACTGTGCTGACAGTCTGACTGAAAATCTGAAACAATTGGTAAACAGAGTCTAAAAATAGGATACCAGATTTTTTTAAATCTCTATTCCAGCTGTTTTGAAACACTTACTGAATGTGGACATTCATACCTCTGCTGCATGAATTAGTTACCTCACCTGAATATAAAATAGATAAGCCAATAATTGCATTCACATGAAAGAGGCAAGAAGCACACATACTAGTACAATAGCCATTGTTCCTTGCCATTTCTCTCAGCACCCTCAAATATGATTGTGAATCTCTCTGGTTTCTCTTAAGTCTCAGAAAGTAATGAAAAGAGGAAACATTCAATAATTTTCCTTGGGAATCAGCTGAACAACTATGCATAAACACTCTGAAGGGAAAACTCTGAAAATATCACTTCCTTCTTCATAGGGCTGTATGAGAAAACACATTTAAATATTATTTTTGCTTCTTCACATAGCCAAATTGAAAGAGGAGGGGATTCAGCCAGAAGCCTATTTAAAGTAGCATGGTCCCTACCTCAGTTTTACTGCTACTGCAGCTCTAATAGTTCTTTTCTAATGGGCCCCTCTACACATGCAGATAAAGGCACAATGAGATCAAATGCATGACCCACAAAACTGTACCTCCTGGCATGCCACACATGGGACTGTGAATCAGATCCCATCACACCGGGGCTTCCCCTGCACCAGCAAGGTCAAGCTCCCATGGCTGATCTTGGGAGCCCACTCAGCTGACAGAGCTTGCAGCCACAGGGGTTCCCCATGCACCCCTGAAATTCAGAGACTGCAGCTGAGGTGGTATCCCAGCTTTGGGGGTGCTCCATTACACTGCCTCAGTTATGGTCTCCTAGCCGTGGGGGTGCCTGGAGCACCTTCATGGCTGGGACACTGCCTCAGCTGTGGTGTCCCAGCTTCAGGACTACATGGGGTACCCCCAGAGCTGGGAGCCCTGTAATGGGGCTTCCATGGCCTGGAGCCAGCATCAGCTGGGAACTCCCAGGTTTGGGGGTTCACATGAGCCCCCCATCTGGGAGCTCCAATAAGCAGATGGGCTCCCAGCCATGGAAGCCCATGGGATGGTTTTCTGGCTTGGAGTGTCATCAGCTGTGGGACTCCCAACCATGGCAATGTATAGTATACCCCCTTCACTGGGAGCCCCATCAGCTGATGACACTTCCAGCCATGGAGGCATAGGCTACACATGCAAATTAAAACTGGATAGAAACCAGCTATAAAGTTATTACACATTTTCCAGCTCTAGCTTTAAAATGGTTAGACCTTTTTAAGGCATGATACTTAATTTGCATGTGTAGCCAATCAAAATTAATTGCACAGTTAACCAGGTAGTCACGTGCAACGTGTAGGGTAGACCTATGTGATTACATCAGACTGATTATTTTTTAATGCAAACCTATGAATCTTCAGTGAATTTTCTAATCCAGAAGCTCAACGGTTGTTTAATACTAGTTGTTCTCCTAGGTTGACAGTGAGAACTAATAGTTGTAAGAAGAGGAGCAGGACAGTCTTCCAACCTGACTTTAAGAGTGTGCAGATCCTCACAGGCAAATCTGTCGCCTTCACTCATAGCAAAGCCATCTAGCAAAACAGCTCCATGCAGAGGCTGTCTCTGGAGGCAGATGTGGAGGTTCTCCTGTTTTGTGTCCATATCTGAGAGGAGAATGTGCCCCCAGGTAATGGTACACAGTCCCCCTTCTTCCACTTTCATATGGCTGGTAAATACCTAAACAGAGGAGAAATAATGAACTGCTATTTCCATCTACACCTTCAACTTGGCACTATCAAAAACCTTTTGCGTTTAGAACACACAACAAAGTAAGTATCAAAATTTTAAAGAGCACACTCTTGTTTGTCATACACTGGGAGGAATTTAGGAATTTATTGCAACACACAGGGCCCAAGCACAATCCTACCACAGCTCAAATATATAGAAATATTCCCTCTAATAAATCAACCAGTGGCCTGATGGATGACCATACTAGTGCTGCAAAATTTACTGCAGCCAGCAGTGTAGCAAGCACACTGTTCTACTGACATTAGAGATCAAAGATGGAAAGCACCAAAACAGAATTGCAAAAACTTGATCCTATGATAAACTGAGTGCCCTTGGGCCCTATTTAAATAACTGGGAGTCAATCGGATTAGAGCAGCAGGGGCAAATATATGACCTGTGAGCTAGATCCAGTCCATGGGGCCTGATCATCCAGCCTACAGTGCTGCCTCTGTGTCACACACAGGCAAGCTGCATGTAGCATGCACTGGCCCTGGCTGCATGCAATGTGCAGAACCCATCTGGCAGGGGCTGTAAACATAGAATCATAGAACATTAGGTTTGGAAGAGACCTCTGGAGGTCATTTAATCCAAACCCCTGCTCAAAGCAGGACCATCCCCAACTAGATCATCCCAGCTGAAGCTTTGCCTAGCTAGATACTGAAAAACTCCAAGGATGGAGATTCCACAGCCTCTCTGGGTAGCCTGTTCCAGTGTTTTACTACCCTCCTAGTGAGAGCATTTTTCCTAATATCCAACCTAAACTTCCCTTGCTGGAACTTGAGACTGTTGCTCCTTGTTCTGTCATCTGCCACCACTGAGAACAGTCTAACTACATCCTCATTTGAACCTCCCTTTTGCAAGATTGGGCTCACAAGCAGGCCACACTGGGCTCACAAACAGGCCACATGTGCCAGATCCAGTGCGTAGAGGAGGTTTTTCGGGGGCACCACAAACAACATGCGTCCTGGACAGACCCTGTATACCACATGCTGTACTGGACTGGGGCTGGTTCATGTTGCATATGGTGCTCAAGGCTTGAACTGGTGCACACTACAAGAAACACCCAGGTTAGTCCAGTCACAGGCTGCAGTAGTGCCTGCACCAGCCTAGCCCTGTGTGCTGGATCTGACACGTGGATTTCATGCTGCTCATCCAACCTGCAAGGAGAATGAGTTTGACATCCCTGGATTAGAGGGTACATAGATCCATATGGAATTGAATCCTAGCAGACGACACTCTGCTAAACAGTTATAGTCAACTTGGTTCATTTAGTTTTTGCATTTCCAACTGTCACTTTCCACAGGCTCAAGCCAAATTTTACTGTCAAAAAGAACCCTACTGGAGACAACAGGGGAGCAGAGCTAGTCTTACAGTGTAAAATATCATCCGTATGGACATTTTATTTCTGATTTTAGTATGGCTGGGATTTCTCCATGTATTTCTAGTCGCCGAAAAAAAAGAAGATATCCCCTAAAACAGGAGTGGACAAAATATGGCCCGTGGGCCACATCGGCCCACCAGGCACTTTCATCTGGCCCCTGGTGCAACCCAATGAATAGTACTCTGCCCAGCCCTTCCGCCCACAAGGGTGGGAGTGAGGCACCTACACTCACCCCCAACATATCCTATTATACCTTGCTCCCACCCTCATGGGCAGAAGAGCTGGCCCCACTAACATGGGGTGGGGCTGCTGCTGCTGGTTTCCCCAGTGCCCCGCTCCTACCAGGCAGCAGGTAGGGAAGCTGGGGGTGGGGCTGGGTGGGTGGGGCCTGGGTGGGGCCTGGGGCTGGCTGCAGTGCGGAGCCCTCACCCAGGGGGGCGGCAGCAGCACAGAGCTCAGGTGGGCAGGGTGTGGGTGTGAGGGAGGGTAGGAGGGTATGGGGACCCCTCCCACACACACAACCATGGCACACAGCCCTGGCAGGCAGCAAGGGGCAGCAACAGCAGCAGTGGGAAGCACTCTGCTCAGTGCTGGTGTCTGGCTCCTGGCTCCGCCCAGTGGTGCCAGGAGAGCAGCCCCCAGTGGATTGTTTGCTTCCTTGGTACTCTCCACACTCACGGGGCACAGGAGGGAAGCCCCAGGTACTGGAGTGGGCTGGGGTGTGGCCAGCACCCCACAAATGCCACACAACCCCGCAACATACCCTATGCCCTGCGCTGGGCCCGCCTTGAGCTCACACCTCAGTCCCATGCTGTGGAAGAAACACAGAGGCCCCCCTGCCCCTTTGCAGGGCTACCACGGCCCCACGCAATGTTAAGGGAGCCCTGCACAGGCTGATTTCCCTGCACTGCCTAGAGTCAGCTCTGCACAACCCCCACCATACACACACACACCCCCCGCCACACTACACCACACCACACACAATATAAAATACTAAGAATTTATTTTTAAGTAATTCTGCAATCACCTCTATATACAGTACATAAACACAAATCATGACAAAAATATTTTTTGTAATAATATTATGTTATAGTAGGTATTTGTCTTTTAGTGTATGATTTGTTTTTTTCTGGTTCTAAGATGGCAACTCCCCCCTCCCAAAAGGAGTATTTCCAGGGGCAAGTGGGGGGAATTCTGGTGGCAAAGGTGAGGGGTTAGGGGTGTGACTTCCAGTCCCAAAATGGCAGCCAGGGGGCGGGGCACCTGTCAAGGGCAGGGCTACCCATGCGGCCCTCAACAGCTCACCAAACCTCCTTAAGTGGCCCCCTGCCCAAAATAATTGCCTGCCCCTACCCTGAAATATTTGGAAGAATAGCTGGATAGAAGTTTCTGTTCCCAATTCATGTCTAAATAGAGATGTACCTCAGGAGTTTGATTGTCGACAGGAAGAATTGTAATGTTAAAGCAGATCCCAAACAAGTTCCCACCATGTTGATTGCTGACTGAAAAAACAAACTGGACATGCTGTGGCTCAGGTCCAATGTCCTGGATAGGAGGCATGTAGGCAACTTTCATGTAGTTCACGGCGTGCTGCAGAAAAGGAAACTATAGTTCAGAACACTGGAACCCTTTTCCAGAAAAATGACCTTTTGGTGGGCATGATCTCCTTCCACAAAATGCACTCCTAAATTTCTGCCCCTACATTTCAGTTATTGGCATACATGTCAGTAGCTGTACATCTAACTGCAGACAAATGAGGCAGAGATGCAAGCACCCAGATCTGTGGAGGTAAAAAGTCTAAGCCTGCCAGGCCATTCTATCCAGACCATGGGGTCCCTAAAAATTTTAGAAAGTTAATATTTATCTGTCCCTGGCTGCCTGTCATGCAGCCCTGGATGGCTTGCCACAACTCAGTAAGTGGCCCTCTGCCCGAAATAATTGCCCACCCCTGGTCTGGAGTGCTGGACTCAAAGCCTTTTTTTCTATGATCACCTCAAAATAAGCACACTAACTGAAGTGTAGCTTTTATGTATACATTCGCTGCAGTAGCCTCACATAAGAACTCTCTGAATTTGTCATTAGCAATATGTATTGATTGCATAGCCTCTCTCCCTCCAACTAACAACAAGGCACTAAAGAAGATTAAACTGTCAGCAAAGTCTTCCATCTAGAAAATAATCTTATGTATGTGGTTACATGTTTGCAGGCACAGAGCTCCAATTATGAGGCTATAATTATAATTGCTTTGCAACCTTAACTGTACAGTAAAATGTGAAAACAGGCAGTTTACCTGCTAATAAGAATGAGACTTATTCAACTACAGCATAAGAAAACATTTCAAAACAAACCATTTAAAATGAAAACAAATCTGTGGATGAACAAACACACCCTTATCTGGGATGGTTTAGGCTGGAAGGATCCTACCTTGAGCAGGGGGTAGGACTAGGTAACTTCCTGAAATCCCTTCCAGTCTTACTTACCTAGGAATCTGTGATTTCATACTCCAGTGGAATGCAAAATAAATTGAATTAGCTGGATTTTGAGCCTGTCAAACCCAATGTGTAGAGCTAGACTCCATTTTTAAGCCTTTGGCTGCCTAAAAAGAAATGTCTTGAGGAAAAAATGTCTGCAACACTGAAACTCAGCCTCAGGGGATGAACAGGAACTCATTACTAGCAGTGGAAATTTCCTAGAAATTTCTACCACTAGAATTCTTTCCCCAGATCTGCTCTGGAGAAGGTGTGGGGAGAAGGGGCTGCTCCAATCCCCCCAGTCCCCAGGGAAAGTAGAGCAGTAGAGAAAGACTCTGAATGCCTTCTGCAGAACTGGGTCATCCCAGCCTGGGGAAGCACAGGGAGCATTGGCTTACTGCTCCCTCCTCTCCTGGTATGTGGCAGTGGAGCCAAGAGCAGTGGGGCAATGCCCTCTACCCATTCTCCAGAGTGGGAACATCCTGGTCTCAGGAAGTTTGGAGTTGGGGGTAGGGGCAGATCAACTCCTCTGTGTTTGGGAGTAATTGAGTTGTGAGGAAATGCCCCCCACAACTTTGTCCAGATTGGAGTCCCCCTGGTCTGGGGAAGGCACAGGGGAAGATGCTGCTCAACTGCTCCTGATCACAGAGGAGTCTAGCAGAAGCATACAAGCATTCATTCTGGTGAGAGAAACTCTCTTGCAGGGGAGATTTTCCAGGTGTAACCCAGAAGACCTTTCTCAGGGAAGGGGGCCTGCTTCCTCTGGGAGAAAGAGAATTGACACCTGTATGCTGGCAATTTCTACAGGGGAGGGGCAATTCTCCCAGTAGAACCATAACACCTGAAAATGGCCTTACACAGTCCCTAGTTCTAGATGTTATCACTTAGTTTAACAAACCTGAGTGAATGATCTCAGTGCCAGAGCAGTAGGATCCTTGACTAGCTTGGGTATGCTGTCCACCATAAATAACTTTCCAGCCTCAGAGTGACTATACAAAGATACAGAAAAATATTGCTAATCAGCATATATCAAACAGTAGGAAGAAAAATTAATTATACGTTACATTTTAAAACCAATTTACCCCAATTGCATTGAAATAGTTCTTTTTTTTCATAATCATAGATGGCTTTATTATTCATTTTTAAATCATGATAGAAAACTAAACATAGGGATGAAAGCTATTGGGAAGGTTACCAAAAACTAATGTACTGTATTTACTCAAATCCAAGATGAGTGAGGGGTTTAGGGAAAAAAAACCCATTCAACATGGCACTGGGGAGGGTGGCTGTTGCAGCTCTTACTCTGGCCTTGGCTTGGGCTTGAAGTTGGAGCCACAGTCAATGCCATGCCCCCCGCTGCCTTTGCACCTCACCTTCTGTACCATAAGCTGCCCTTCGTCCCCTGCCTGTTGCTGCATCTGCCCCACTGCCTGCCCTCTGCTGCCTCTGCTCCATGCCACCTCTGCCCCAACCCTTCCTCCCCTTCTGCTTCTATTTACCCTGAGTCCCAGGTTCAGTTCTGGCTCTGCTCCAGCCCTGACTAGTTTCAGCCCCACCCAGCCAGGAAGCAGCAGTTGATTGCAGCTCTGGCCCTACTCTGGCTTTGACCAAACCAAAGCTGGGGCCACCACAACCAATTCAGGAAGGGGGCATATGTGGATGAGGGGCACAGGCACCCCAGAGTGAAGCAAGCAAGGAGGGCACAGGCAAGGGTGGTGAAGGTGGCGGGGGGTGGGGGCAAGGGCAAGCACCAGGAA